AATCATATATTAAAATAATGCCCTTCAAAGAAATGAGGGGAAGTGGAAGGGCAGTAATGGCTGGCAACTAAAATGGACATAGACAGCGATGGCTAATTCAAAACTTAATGTTTTGATGGGTGTCTGATGAACCTAAAATGGACAGAGCAGGGTTACATTGCTGAAGATTTATTGCTGGTTCACGGAAGTCATATGGAGAGTAGGGCATGTTCCAGACAAGTGTGCTGGGAACCAGAAGAAAAGGCACCACAGGGATGTGCCAAAGCAGAAAACAGCTCTTGATGGAGCTGAACTTGATGGAAGAGGAGTAAGGTTTTGCAGCCAGAAAGAAAAACCAGCTGTCAGCTGGGCAGACAGAAAAAAACTGCCACCAATCTCCATAAGCCATTTAACTCTAAAATTAGGAAGTAAGCAGAGTAAGGAATAGAATATTCCATTATACATTTAGCTCTGCAAATATGGATGCTTAAAGCTGTTTTAGGCTACACGAAAAAAAAAATTGCTCTTGCCTTGCAGTTTAAGCAGCCTATCAGCTAAGGCTTGGGAAAAGGAATAAATTTACAATGGATTGCAATGCAAAGAAGTTGCTTGCTTGCCAAATAAGGCTGAGAAAACGAAACTGCTCATACTTCTCACTTTAACATGCTTCTTAATAGAAGGGAAACTGAAACCTGAAGTGTATCTTGCCCTGAATTTCTAACAAAACCTAAGAAAAGTCTGTGTCCAGAATATTCCAAACACAAGAATGCTAATAATACTCACCGGCTACCTTCTTTCAAAAGGGCAATCGCAATCCGGATTCGATTTCTCAGAAATATTAACATCAATATAATGACAACTTCCACTATACAAAGTAGTATCACTGAAAACACAAGAAATAAGTTTGTCAAAAAATAAGGTTGCCAACTTATATCAAAGCAACACATTGCCAGTTATAAGGGTTGGCTTCAGTATTCTCTTCCCAAATGCATCATATTCAGGATTCCACTGGAATCAATCAAATGCTCCACATACCTAGATTTAGCCCCTATTTCATACACACTAAAGCAGTGTTGTCCAAACTTGGCTACTTTAAGATGAGTTGACTTTAACTCCCAGAATTCCCCAGCCAGTCCACGCTTCTTAAAGTTGCCAAGGTTG